GCACGCGGAGAGGCAGGAGGCGCCGCACAAACGGGTCGGAAGGGCACCAGATGGAGCCATTTACATGGCTGCCCGCGGAGCGGTATTTGTATCCGCTGCTGAATTCCATCGGCGCTTATCAGCGCTATACATACCGTTTGCGTGCCGTATGTGACGCGCAACGACAAAAGCTACTGCTAAGCGGAGACATTGAGCAGAACCCAGGCCCCATAGCAGTACTCCAGATGAACGTTTCTTGCCTCACGCCGTCAAAACTCGCAACATTAATGGCGCAAGGAGCAGACATAATAGCCATTCAGGAGACTTGGAAGTCGTCAGAGCAGATCGCCAGCATGCACACTGGAGATTATGTGCTCTATGCACAGTCGCGCATCGGCAAGGGAGGCGGTGTGGCGGTGCTGGTGCGGAAAACTCTCCGCTCCAAGCGTATACCCCTCACCATCCCCCAGCGTGACACCAGCCTTGAAGTGGTGGTGGTCCAGGTTGCTCTGGACCAGAACCGTGATCTTATTGTAGCGAGTGCCTATATGAGACCACCACCGCAAGTAACGCAATCCTTCAGGCGGTTAGTAAACTGCCTTCCAGCCTCGTCGCCGCTCCTGCTGTGTGGGGATTTCAACATGCATCACCCACAGTGGGAGCCATTCTTGGAGACTTCTCCAAGCGAGGTTGCTGCAGAATTTCTAGAACTGTGCACGGATGCGGGACTCACCTTGGTTAACACCCCTGGTGAGATCACGTATGCCCGTGGCACAGGAGAACGATCCTGTATCGATCTGACATGGTCAAAGCATTTGACTGTGTCGGATTGGTCAGCTTCCGTGTCGCCGCTTAGTGATCATTATATGCTGACATTTACGCTGCATCAGGCGTTTAAGGATACCATACCTTCGGCACCCCCTTCGGCACCTAAGTTTTTCTACAGTTGGGGGAAGTGCAAGTGGGATTTATTCATCAAGGACTTCGACGCACAACTTCCGGTATACGACTATAAAAAGCAGTCCACCGGCATTAAGGCCTTCACGAGAGCGCTTATAACTTCGTATCGACGACATTGCCCCCGCGGCATGCACAAGGACGGCCCCAGGCTTTGGGACGACACTCTCATGGAGGCAGAGCGGATTGCTACCGACAGCAAGGCCCGCTATCTACAGTTACCGACGCCCGACCGTGAGGCAGAAATGCAACGGACAAGGAGTCAATTCTTCCTCCTGCTCCGAGAGCGCTTGCGCAACACGTATCTACGCCGCATCAGCAAGTTAAATCCAGGCGAGCCACTCGCATGGAAATACATTTCCGGACGAAAAAAGGCATCACTTCCATCTCCCACATCAATTTTATTAGGAGATGGTCAACACACTTATAAAACAGCAAGGAGAGCAGCGAATGCTCTCAATCGCATCTTTCTTCCATTTCACCCCTCTCACAAGGCAGTTAGGTTTTCCAAAGGCATCAACAGACAGAGTGCATCCTTGAACATTAATGCTTCTTTTCTTTTTGGGCAGCAGAACAATAGCGAGTCTGCTGCCTCATTTACTTCATTTTCTTCTACTTCTTCTAGCTCCGAGCCGCAGAACAACAACGAGTCTGCCGCTACTTCTAGCTTAGTTTCTTCCACCTCTCTTATCTCTTGTATTTCTGAGCCGCAGAACAACAACGAGTCTGCCGCTACATCTACTTCAGGTTCTTCACTCTCATCTAGTTCTGAGCCACAGGATAAAAACGAAGCTGCCACCACATCTGGTTTAGTTGCTCGTCTTCACTCCCCTCTTGATGCACCCTTTAATCGTACGGAACTGCTTGCTGCGCTACGTAATACGCCGTATGGCAAGGCCCCCGGACCGGATGAAGTCTACAGTGAGGCACTGCGAAATATTTCGTCAAAGGGCCTCCGATTCCTTCTTCGTTGCATTAACCACAGTTGGACGACCGGTACGATCCCGGTTGAGTGGAGACGCGCTACCATCGTCCCACTCTTAAAACCCGGTAAGTCGCCGGAACTGCTTGAGTCATATCGACCCATCAGCCTTACCTCCATTGTGAGTAAGGTTGCTGAGAAAATGGTACTGAAGAGATTGCTTTGGGTGTGGACGCCGCACCCCCACCAGTATGCATATCGTAGTATGCGTACTACGACGATGCAGCTGGCACACCTGATACACGAAGTGGAGCATAATAGAAATCACTATTTCCAAGTGAGCCTTCCCAAGAAAAGCGGTATTGGCAATCAACTCCACTACAGACCCCATCGGACCCTGCTAGTGCTGGTTGATTTCAGCAAGGCTTTTGACTCCATAGATCATCGAGTCCTCAGTCGCTTGCTGGCTAATATTCCGGGGGTGAATTGTAGAAGGTGGCTTAGAAACTTTCTATGTGGTCGCTACGCGAAGACACGAGTTGGCCACAGACACAGCGATCGGCGTCCCACGCTGCGAGGAGTTCCTCAGGGGTCCATGCTGGGACCGTATTTGTTCTCCCTTTACGTACACCCACTTCTCAATCTGCTGAACAGCTTTGCGGGTGTCACAGCAGACATGTATGCGGACGACCTCTCTATTATCGTTAAGGGGCAGTCCCGGGAAGACGCCATTCCCACTGCCAACATGGTTCTTCAAAAACTGCATGCGTGGAGTCAGGAAAATGGCCTGGCCATTAACCCGTCAAAGTGTGAAGCTGCTTGGTTCACACTATCCACGCACACGGAGTCAGATTATGATCGTGAAGGAAGGTGGCCCCTGGTAGTGGCTGGATGTCAAATCCCAGTCATGACCATGGGGGCATCGCGAACTACGAAGCTTCTCGGCATGGATCTCGATCCACGACTGACGCTAAATGTGGCGGCCACCAAGCAATGCGCTGCCACTTCGCAACGGATATTGCAGCTACGCTGCATAGCGCACAAAGAGGCGGGACCATCTCCACATGACCTACGCACGTTCGTCATTGGACACGGTGCTTCCAAATTACGCTATGGCAGCGAGCTCATATGGGCAGTAGCGACGGATTCAGCGAAGAATGAGATGCAGAAGACGTACGCAACCCTAGCACGCATTGTCAGCGGAGTTCCGAGCACTGTTGACCCGGAATCCGCGCTACTGGAGGCTAATATGCCGCCGCTCCACGTCCTTTGCCTGCGCGCGCGGCTCTCAATATTTGAGAACACACGCGCATGTCAGATGGACTGGATGCGGAGACCCCCGCCTGAGCCACCGCCTCGCGCCGGTTTCCGCATCTCGCCATTATCTCGGGACGAGCTATATGCCTTCGTAGACGCATACACAAAGGACTATGGCATCACCGAGAGCTCACCACGCGAAGAGCGGTTCTTTCGCAGCTCCATTCCTCCCTGGTTTGCGGCCTCCGCTCACCGGGTCACCATCGGTGTGGGACTTCCGATAGACCACTCAATAACTGACGAAGAAGAGCTGATACGGGAAAAGCGCAGACTCAGCGAAGAGGCTCTGGCGCTGCACAGCCATCGTTCGTGGATACTTGCGACCGATGGCGGTGTCGACGTTCCCAAGTCAGCAGGGGTTGGAATACTGCTTTCATCCCTCAACTCATCGGAGATAATAGAAAAGGCCAGCATAAACTGCGGTGCACGCCCATGCAGCTACAGGACGGAATCCCGTGCGCTGCTTCTAGCCCTGGAGAAGCTGATGATTCCTCGTATCCGCCACAGGCGTAAAACCCTGCTTGTGGTTACGGACAGTCAGTCTCTTCTAGCGGCTCTAAACAAGGGCCCGCTCAGTCAGACAGACTGGACGGAGGATCAGATCTGGCAGCGTCTCTTGACACTGACGCGTGCTGGCTGGTCCGTGCACCTGCAGTTTTGTTACGGACATTGCGGAGTACATGCTAACGAGCTTGCAGATCAGTATGCGACGCAGACTATGGAAAGTGGACAATACACGGAGCAAGGAATCGCACCTTTATGGCATACGGATCTGCTGACATGTTTTACTACCCATTACATCAACAAGTGGCGTAGCACCATTCGTCAAGACACGCATCGCTACTTGCTTTGCGGCACAAGGCCATCAGATCTCAGCGGTAAGGACCTAATCACTCAGGAAGTTCTACACCGTCAGGAACTGGTTCACCTCGCAAGGGCAAGGTGCGGGGAATCTGAGCTCTGGGGCCGACTATACTGGGCCGTGAGAGATTGCACGAACCAATGCCGATTCTGCAACATCTCACCGGAACAGTCTGCATATATGCGCTCTAACAACGATCCGACTGCACCGGGGACGGACACTGTTCCCCCGTCGGCGAGGGAGGAAGACGTCTCTCCAGTAAGGAGACGGACCCTCACACGCCGTCGGAAGGAGAAATGTCCGCACTGTGATTCCACATTGACGGGATTCTCGGGTCTCGTCAGTCACTGTCGGTCATTTCATCCGGAACATCCCCCACCGCTTCCCGAGCTCAAATGTGATTTCTGTGACATGGTTTTCCCCACACGGAGAAGCACCGCACAGCACAGAAGTCGCTGCGCACACAACCCAGACGCCACACGGCATCGAAACAGCCGTGCCAGGAGGCGATCTCTGCTGCCGCAGGATCAGCCAGCTTCCACAAGCACGCCAATCGGCCCGCAGGAAACCTTGCACCATCTGCTTCTAGAATGTCCAGGCACCTTGGCTGTGCGTCAACGGCTGGGCATTGAACAGGACCTTCGCCTCGGAAAGTTCTCTCAATGGCAGTTACTTCATAGCAGGAAACTTTTGTCGTTGCTCGACCACCTCTTCGGCACTCAAATGGCACTGTATAGCTAGACGCGCTGGTAAGAGTAGAAAAAAAAAAAAAATTATACGTATATATTTATGCACTTACTTGGTGTTAAACTTTGAGGATTTGGTGTATCCATTTTTATTTCACTCATTCCTTTCTCATTAATATGTTGTTTGGTTTCTATTATCGAGAAACTCCAGCATTCGGCCTGGGACCCAGAAGATTATTCTACTTTTACTTCATCCTTTTTTTTTTTTGCGGCAGCCATGTCGTGGGCAGCAGTTGCGCAGAAGGCGAAGGATGCTACGGCAACAAATAAAGAGCCAAAGCGGGTTGTTTTTGCTCCCGCCGTTGAGTCCGTAGGTGATGGCGGTAATGAACGCGAGCATATTGATGTCAGTAGGACAAGTTGTCATGGGGTGGGGACAGCAATTCCTGCTTACCAAAAGGGTCTTCTCATTCTTGACGCAAATGCCTTTATTAAGGGGATGGACAACTTCAGTGACGTGGCGGATGTACTGGTGACAACTCCGCAGGTTGTCGCGGAGGTGCGGGACCGCGCCGCCCGTGAATTACTGAGCCGTTTTTCGCAGGTTCTGCATGTCTTGGAACCCTCGAAGGAGGCAATTGCCGCTGTTGTGAGTGTCGCAGAGAAGACGGGTGATTTGGGCGCCATGAGTCGAACAGACATTCGTCTTTGCGCATTGGCGCTGTACTGCTGTAAAGCCACGAACTCTCTACAGCCGCCTATTGAGCCACGACAGGCCGTCATTAATCCTGACGGCGATCATGGAACTGAAATAGTGACGGACGCTGTGCCGGATGAGGGGAATGATGATAGTGAGGCGGCGAGTAATGGGAGTGAAGATGGGGAGGATGAAAATGATGATGATGAGGGATGGATTACACCGGAGAACATCCACCAACATCTACGAGGAGCAGCGGATGCTGTGGGGGAGCGTTTTGACGGAGGTGTTGCATGCGTCACCTCCGACTACGCGATGCAGAACACATTAAAGCATCTGGGCGTCTCCATTGTTGGGCCGCATGGCATGCGCATTCAAGAGCTCCGGCAGTGGCTTCTTCGATGCACCTCTTGTTTTGCACTCACAAACGACACAACGCGGCAGTTTTGTGGCACATGTGGCAGTGGGAACACGCTGAGACGCGTACAGTATGTTGTAACACGTGAGGGCAAAAAGCAGCTTTTTATCAACTTTTGCAAGCCCATCAGCACACGTGGCACCGTCTACAACCTTCCAAAACCACGTGGGGGGAAGCGTGGAACAAACCGCTGCCTTGTGCTGCGGGAGGATCAGATGGCGCATGTTATCCGCGGCACAACGTCTGCCAAGCTGCGGGAGAAGCACGTCGTGCGTGGCAGCGGTAACGACGAGGAGTTGGCAGCGTTTGGTGAGGTCCCAAAGCCGCATAAGCGAGACGTGAACCAACCGCGCATGTTTTCTTCGTACCATAAGTACAACGTGAACGAGAAGAAGAAGTCTCGTGCCTCCCGACGGAAGTAAACTTCACACGGTTTACGACAACATTGCCAGAAGACAACATGAAAAAAAGAAAAATCAAACAGAAGAAGACAAAAAAGGAAAAGAAACGAATTTACATTGCGGGCAACAAATTGTTCTAGTTTAAAAATAAAAAATAAAAAAATAAATAAATTACGCAACAACAGTCATTTTTAATACGGCCCCTTCCTCCCTCTTTTTTTTTTTTTTGCCGTTGAAAAGGAATCAAGGAAAAAAAAAAATAGGGGAAATGGGAATAATGATGCCAAGAGACTGTTGAAATGCGACTTGGGTGCAACGCATGAGTTTGTTGTTTCCCGTTTTTCTTTTTTGCCCTTATTTTTATTTATTTATTTATTATTACAGGAGGGGCAAAAAGCGGTCATTGAAGCTACGAAAAGATGCTCCGGCGCACGGTTGCCCGTTTCATGGCGTCTGAGGCGATTGGACCGGCACATCCCGATATTCTCTGGGGCTTCATGGACGGGCGCTACGCCGGGCCTGGCTGGGTTAGCTGGATCAAGCAACTGCCTGTGGAAACGCTCACCATGCAAGGTGGGACATCCATGACAAATATGAACGACCGTGCGGGGGTTATTTTAGATCCAGAGGACCCACGACATCCGATGGCACTTATCCAATGGGGTCCAATGAATCACTATGATGGCGCTTTTATGCAACTGTCTTATGGGGACTACGGGAAAATTAAAAAAGGTTCCCGTCTCATGCAAGTTTTGTATGATAATTATTTAGAACCCTTTTCCATGAATCGTGTGTGCGCCCAGTTGTACTTTTATCAAAAAGTGCCAAACAATTATCACGCTTCTGTTGAAGCCTCTGCAGAGTACATAGGACAAACCGCTTCGCTGGTAGGACAGGTAGTGGTGGGTATGGGCTCCGTTATCATGGAAGGCGTTACAGTGAAGGGTGACACAAATTGTGTTTACATAGCCGAGGGTGTACAGGTGATGGAAAACACATGTATTGTGAGTGATGCACCGACGGATTTGTTAGCTTACCAACGTCATGAGGCCATTAATCCATATCAGCAATGGGACGGAATGGATGGCGTCTGCCGCATAATGCAAAACACAATGATTGAGCCAAACTGCTTTCTTGATAGCTGTTCTATTGGTCCATTTAACCGCATCGGCCACAACACCAAAATTCTGAAGGGTGTGACAACAGGAACAATGGTGCATATCCTTCCCGGTAGCGTAGTTACGGCCGATACAAGGATTGGAGATGGGGAACTTTGGGGTGGGGCGCCTGCTGTTAAGCTTGGAAAAGTCAGCAAGTTCGAATGGAAACGCCCCTACTATGCCTCTCTGTTACACAAGGAGTGTGTTGTGGAGTCATACCGCAACATGTCTCGCTATGGAGATCAGGTGGTTTATTTTCAGGACGAGATGGGCAAGCTTGATACTTTGATGCTACAATTTGAGTCTGACATTACACCCTCTGTGAAAGCAAAGGTAAAGGAGTTTGTGCAGGGGCGTGAACCCTTCCATCACATGCTTACTCGCATCACTCAGGGTTGGTCTCCTGCCAACCGCCCAGATGATAAGAATTACAACCTTTGTCCCCCACTACCGGCTGTAAAACTCTTTGCGGAGCACAACAACGACTCCTCCGATAGTTCGCTTCATGGAACTTACATGAATATTACGAACATATTTAACGATTTTCGGTGGTAGAAAAGGACGTGGAGAAATTGTCATTATTATTATTATTTAGTATTTTTTTTCCTTCTTCTTCTTTTGGTGTTGCGAAGAAACGAGAAGGGAATATATTTGTTATTTTTTTGCCTGCCCGAGTGTGCTTCTCGATTAGTAAAAGGAGAAGGTCGGAAATTAAAAAAAAAGGGGAAAAAAAAGGGATGGGACGGTAATTAATGGGATGCAGGATGGGAGGGGATATTGCAGTTAAGTAGTTTAGAAGGGCTTCGTGTATGGCGATTATGCAGAGGGGGGTAGAGGCATGAGAGAAGTTTGATTTGAGAAAATAGAAATGTCGTAAGGAAGAAAGAACGTTTGTGTTTGTGTGTGTGTGTATGTAGATATCTATAGGACCGAATTTATTGATGCGAATGAGTGGAAATAAGTCAGCATGGCTTTCAATGGTACGGGTGTTGTTGATGTTGTTGTTTAGCGGTGGAGGTATGGGAATTGCATTGCAACGCCCATTTTAGTTGCATATTGTCTCTTTTCATTATTGCACATGAGAAATGATTTACTTCTCTTTTTCTTTTTTTCCTGCATGCATTTATTTGGGCCGCATGCATCACACACGTGGTCAAAAGTGCGGTGCTGGAATTACGGTTTTGGGTCTCGATGGGGAAAATGGAATTTCACACACTCGATCCCCGCCGAAAGAGCCCGTACGAGGAGCACGTTGTATGGGAAGAGCTGGATGCGCTACGCGACACCGTAGCTTTTTTGAGGCAGCGGCAGGAACAGCAGGCGGCGCAGTGGCGTGTGATGTCCGAAGAGCAGCAGAAGCACTGCACAGACCTGGCGTCTATTTACCAACAACTTCAGGAGCTGCTGCTCTCTGGCAGCGATGCGGAGGGGAAGAAGCAGAGCGGCGATGCGGTGACGGCATCACAGGAATTGCTCAGAAGTGAGGTCTGTGACTTGCTGCAGAACTTTAAACACCATATTGAGCTGCACACGGCGGAGACGACTCGGAGGCTCGACGGCTTCCAGACTTCCCTGGAGGAGATAAAGAAGAAGGTGGAACATGACAATTGCCGCGCCGCACGTCAAGAGGAGCGCCTGACGCAGCTGGAAAAACAGCAGAGGGATATGTTGCGGCGTATGTCTTTTGTTTCAACACTGGAGGATCTGGAGCAACTCCGCGTGACATTTACACAACAAATTCATTCCCTGCAGGAAGATACCGCTACCACCATACAACGTCACATAGCGAGTGTTGATGAACGCTGTGCAACACATGAGGTACAATGCCGTGAGGAGCAATTAAGTTTTCAGCGCGAGACACATCAATCCATAGAACAGGTCACGCACTTGCTGCATGACCGAATCGAGGCTCTTTGCAGTGAATTAAAGACACATGCGTCATCGATAGACGTCAAAACGTCCAACTTTGAGGAACAAACGAGGTGCGAGATGAAGGGGATGCTACAGACACATTTGGAAAAGACATGCGAACAGGTTCAGGAGGTACATCAAGAATTGAGTAGTAAACATCTGCAACTTGTTGAGGACACGATGGAAGCAGTAGAGAAGATCGTCCACGTAAGTGACGATCTACCACGAAGGGTGTCTTTATTGCAGGACGATATCGCCAACATCCATGAAACTCTGCATCGTCATGGAGATATACTGAATGAACAGTGCCTTCAGGGTTCGCTGCAGGGTGCATTTGACGAGGTGAAAGACTGGTTGCAGGATCTTGAATGTCGGGTGTTGAGTCGTGGTGAGTTTGACGAAGTGCTGGCGAGTGTTGACCGCAAACTTGCCGCACTGAAACGAGAATTTATCCTTTACATTCCTGCTAAGCATCCGGCAGATCAAAGCATAGAGGGCGAAGGTGTTAGTTTTGTATCCACCACTGCTGGTGGTAGTGGTAGTGGTGGTGGTCGGCAGCCGAGCGAGCAAGGGAGTGAGAGGCAAGGAGGTCGTATTTAGCTTCTCAGTCTACACATGCACCCCCTTTATTATTATTTTATTTTGTTTTACTTTCATTTTTGCCGTTGTTGCGTCTCTTGACATCTGCGGGATGGAGCGGTCTTTTGCTGGGATATTTATGCGCTTGAGGGTGTCATCACCTCTTTCCCTTACACTGCGTTGAATGGCAATGTGGAGTCTTTCATTTTTCCTTTTCTTTTTCCACACACACACGAGGATTTTGTTACTTTTTTTCATTGTTTTTAAGTAGTAGGAGTAAACGCAAAAAAAAAAAAAAAAGGAAACACTGTGGGCCGTGCATCGCCGATGGCGTCGCAGAAGCCGGAGGATGTCACCGTTTCGGATGGCATGCTAGCCAACCTGGAGCGCGAATTCAATGAGGCGATGCGAGCGCTAGAGGGACACGTGAAGTTTGTTTGTTTTCGCGAAGAGTACGAAAAGCTGCACCGGGCTTTACTCAACAGCCATGAGTCGGAGAAGCGTCTGGTGAGGCGCTGTCAGCAGCTGACGCAGGAGCTCATGAGTAATGCTGCCAAGATGCAGGCCGCGGTGAAGCTTGCGCAGGACGACCACACCACCATTGAGGCGCTCAAGAAGGAGACAGAGAAGGCCTGGCGTATGGTGGATGTCGCTAACGAGAAGGACGCCCGCGCGAAGGAGACGATTAAAAAACTTCGAGAGGAGGTCTTCTCGTTGCAGGAAATTGTGGAGAACGGCACCGAGCTCACCCCCACGCAAACCGCCACGCTTGAGGAGTTGAAGCTGGAAAAGAAGCGGATGCAGTCGGAGTATGACGAACTTGTCAAGCAGATGGAAACACTCACACGGGAGACGTTTGAGTTGGGCCACAAGATGAAGGAAGCGGAGGAGGAGATGATGAAACATCAGGAAGAGCTGCGCCGTGTTACAGATCGTGAAAAGACAGTGCGGCAGGAATACGAAAAGGAGCTAAGGGCGCGGGATCGCTCCAACTTACAGCTGCGGGAGCAACTCCTCCTCGTGCAGCAGCGTGAGAAGGAACTGAAGTCGCATGAACAGTTGCACAGCAAACTTTCTTCCGCTGTCAATCTTTTGCGGTTGCAGCTGCAGGAGGATCAGAACAGACGACAGGCGCTCGCGCAAAAGATTGAGTCCGCGGAAAGGCAATTGTACCACACGCAGCAGTCCTACGATGATGCCGTAGATACAAGAGAGGCCTTAAATGAGCGTCACCGAGAGGTTCGAAAGGAGATTACAGAAGCAGAAAAGAAAGCCGTTGATATCACTGCGGAGAAGCAGCGGACCCATCGGGTACGGGACAATGACTACAAGGAACTTTGCCGCCTTGTGCAGCAGAATGAAGACATACGGCGGGATCAAACGAACCTTGAACGGCAGCGGTTAAATGTTGAGAAACGCATTGAAATGGCGAGGAGAGAAAAGGAGGATTTATGTCGTGCGTTTGAAATGATGCAACGGGAAAAGGATTCGCTGAAGAAAGTCTCAGAGAAGGAACGGGAGAAGATGCAGATCATGAAAAACTGATTGCG